ATTTTTTCAGTGGCTCTAATCCTCTTCTGTATCCTATCGCTTTCAATGAAACATCCCATCTTTTTTTTTACCTCTTTCTCATGATATCTCTTTCCCTTTCTTCATGGCATCCGCCCCCGCTCCTTTTAAGGGGGAGGAGAACCTGTTAATTCCAGTTCATGCTTACCCTGTCATCGATGACCTGCACATCCCTCCTCGCATCGACCTGCCAGCTGTACCGCTCGGACAAAGGTGTGTGTTGAGATCCGTGGCGGGGAGTTTTGTGACCTTTCCTCCGCCCAGGCTCTTACCTGTCTCTTTGTATTCTTCAATACATCCAACCTTGCTTTCCATTCACGTGTTTGTGTCCAGTCATAGATAAATAAGATCTGTTTTTCTCCTTTTTTTCTTCTCTTCCCTGTCTGCAGTGTTCATCATTCAATTCCCATGAGATGTAGCTGTCCAATTGACTTTGAGTTTGAAGTGTTCATCATTCAGCCACACCAAGCCTTCTCCATCCACCCCCTCAAAGGTAAAGATTTGGAAAATGATTCTATTTAGCATCGAAAATTATTCTTTTCCATGATTATAACCCAACATATAAAGAAATCCTAGTGAATAGAGTTTGAGGTTATAATGAGAAAATGTGGGGAAATATGCAAGTGTATTTTTTAACTCCCATTTTAGCCGTCTAAAAATAGAATCCACCCGCTAGACAATGCTAATGTGCAAGGCTTTCCTCAACCTTCAGAGCTGTTCATAAGTCTTTGCATGACTTGAAGGGTCCCTCTAGTTTCCACTCTCTGCCACACAGCAGCATTCATGGTCTGGAAAGCATCACAACAGATGGCGGAAAAAGCACTTGGGATCCGGATTACAGCTGGCTTAAAACGTTGGAATGAGAAGAGGAGAGATACAAATGAGTTTCAGTTTTTTTTTTTGTGTGTGTGTGTGTTTTTTTTTCTGAAGAGGCTGTTATGTGCTTCCGTTCTGCTTATACAAACAACAGCAGAGCATGAAAACAGTCACTACAGCAGTTGCAGTTGGATGTTATGGTTTAGCGTCCAACTTCTCCTCCCTCTGTGGCCCTAAACAGACGGAAAGGCCGTGGGAGATGTTTGGTTCATCAGCAAATCTAAGGTGTAACTTTTGAGTTTACGACCAAACAGGAACTAAGGTTCAAATATAAAGATATAAGGAAGATGAATTAAAGGTGACATTAAACAGCATGACGTATATGAAGTATTAAAAACTAGCTAGATTACAAAAAACAATTTAAGCATGAAGCAAACTATACCCACAATAAATCTCTTTCCTTTTTCCATCTCCCACCATCCTCCCTGCTCTGTTATTTAAATAGTTATTCTATTCTATAAACCGCATTTTAAGGGTTATATAATTAAAAGTTTCTCTAGTATCTTCTCTACCCACTTAAATCCTATTGAGCTGTGGAGTAAAGCAATCCAGGTTCCCCTCGGACATAATGCCAGATCATTACAGAGAAACGCACAGGACAAACAGTCCTCTACACACACTTAGTTAAGGGAAATTTAGTGCGGCTGATTTAACTAACAAGCATGTTTTGCACTGATTGTGAAAGCCAGAGTATCCTAAGGAAACCACATGGAAAGGTAGAACATGCAGAAACCCCAGAGGGGCTCGCTAACACACCAGCATTCAGCAGATAGGGCAATCAAATAATACAAATCCTCCTATTTCTTAATCAACCTCTAATGGCTCAGGAGGATTTCGCCTTTTCCAATATGCGTTCCTGTTCCTTGCAAACACCTTGCAATATTATCCAAATCTACACCTATTTTATATTCATATAGAAACTATTTTCTATTTATGATTTTTGCATCTATTGAGGCAAGTGTATTTTTCTTGCAAGGTCTGTGTCTTGATGATCTATTAGTAGAATATTCACAAACAAGCTTGAATCTCATGGAAACTGATTCACCTATCGATTGCAGTAGGGATCCCCGGGTTATTAGGGCAGAATATTATGCAGAGATATTGCAGCAATGAAGTTAAAGGAGGGAACAAATTGGTCTTTCAAACAAACAATAAATGCAAAGCTTCACCAAACGAGTTGCGAAGTGCAAAAGGATTCAGCTGCAAATTTACCAAACGCAGAATTGAACACCATTTTAACGTCTGATTGTGATCTGGGTTAAAAGATAGAAAGAACTCAACAAAACGCCTGATAAAAAGTGCAATGACTGTTGTATAGCTTATGAGACTGTGAAAAAAAGGATATATATTTCAAAACATCTTAAGAATGAAGAAAATTAATGTTGTTTTCCTCTAATTGCTAACCCTAAAAGATATTTAGACAGTGGTGTCAAAAGTACACACATTTGTTACTTAATTAGAAGTATAGATAGTGCAGTTTAAAAACACTCTGGTAAAAGTTGAAGTATCAACTTGACCTCTTTACTCAAGTAAAAGTGAAAAAGTATGTGCTCCAAAAACGTATAAAAGTATAAAGTAACCTTTTAAAAAAAAACAGCCGGATACAACTATATGAATTGAAAGATCAATTTTTCGACTATTTCGAAAAAATTCTTGGAGATAGGGCCAAGGATGAGGGAGGTCTTGTTGGTCTCCGTCGCTCTCGCCCGTGTCCGACCTTTCAGACACTTCAACATCTTTTTCTGAATCCAACATTGTAGCATGGCATAGACAATTCATCTTTGCAGTTTGAAGAACACCTGCTTGCTTCTGATGATTTCCTTTAGCTAAACAATGAGTGTTTGAGTTATATGACTCATCCAATTACACTAGTTTTCACTAGATGTGGATGGCACCAATGATCTGCATTGGATGGAGCACATGACGTGAAATAAATATTTATAAACATTAAACCAAAGCCAAGAGTGACGAGTAACATTTGTTTTAAAAATGTAAGGAGTAGAAAGTACAGATACCTGTGTGAAAATGTAATGAGTAGAAGTCAGAAGTAGGAAAAAAAAGTAATAGAGTAAAGTATAGATACTTAATAAGTGTACTTAAGTACAGTAACAAAGTACTTGTACTTTGTTACTTGACACCTCTGTATTTAGATACTGCAGATCTGTTGTTTGGCCCAACTCTGTTAATCTATTTGTAATAAAGCTGTTGACAGTCAGGTGTTAACTGAAGCTTTATTTTTGGTTCAGTTATTGTTGGCCAACTATTTACATGTAAGACTAGTTACTTCATAGAAATGTTTTA